TATTCTTCGTCTTTTGTAACCTTTTTTGATTTAAAGTCTGTATTTTCTGGTATTAGTATGGCCACCCTGCTATCTTTTGGTTTTTATTTGCATGGAATATCTTTTTCTCTTTCACTTCACTTTGAATCTTTTTGTGTCTTTGGAATTAAAGTAAACCCCAGTGTAGTTGGATCCTTTATTGTGCCAATCTTATGTCTTTTGTTTAAAGAGTTTGATCCATTTATATTTAAGTGATTACTGATAAGGAGGGATTGCTGTCATTTTGCTGTTTGTTTTTTATATGTCTTCTAGCTTTTTTGTCCTTGTGTTACTGTCTTTTGTGTTTACTTGATTTATTTTTTGCAGTGAAATTTTAAATTTCTCATTTCCTTTTGTATATGTCCTTTAGCTATATTCTTTGTAGTTACCTTTGGGGATTTAACATCCTCAAATTTAACATCTTAAAATTATAAATCTAGTTTGAATTTTTACCAGTTTAATGTCAATAACATGCAAAAACACTATTTCTTTAACAGGTGTATACTCCTCTCAGTTATTAATGTCATAAATTTACATCTTTAGGGACACCTGGGGGGCTCAGTCCTAAGCGTCTGCCTTCAGCTCAGGTCATAATCCCAGGGTCCTGGGATCAGGTACTGCTCCTTGTTCAGCAAGAACCCCACTTCTCCCTCTGCCTGCCACTCACCCTGCTTGTGCTCTCTCTCTCTCTGACAAATAAATAAAATCTTTTAAAATTAAAAATAAAAATGGGTAAAGGATTTGAATAGATGTTTCTCCAAAAAGATACAGAAATGTTCAATAATCACATAAAAGATATTTAACGTCACTTATAGGGAAATGCAAATCACAAAAACAAAGTGAGGTACCACTTCACCCCTGCTATAGGTATAATCAGAAACATGCAATAACTGATGTTGGTGAGGATGGGGAGAAATTGGACCTTCATGCACTGCTGGTGGAAATGTAAATTGAAACAGCTGCTTTGGAAATAGTCTGACAGTTTCTCAAAATATTAAGAATAGAGTTACCATTTGACCAAGTAATTCTACTCAGTAGATACATACCCAAGAGAATTGGACAGTTTCTCAAAATATCAAAAATAGAGTTACCATATGACCCAGTAATCTACTCATAGATATATACCCAAGAGAATTGGAAACGTATGTCCACACAACAAATTGTGCGTGAATGCTCTTATCAGGTTTATTATAAATAGCCAAAAAGTAGACACAACCCATCCATCAGGTTAAGAATAAACAAAATTTAGCATCTCCATGCAATGAGATATTTAGCAGTAAAAAAAGGAAGAAGTAATGATACATGCTGGAACATGGATGAACCTTGTAAACTTATTACATGAAAGAAGGCAGTCATAAAAGACCATAATGGTATGATTCTATTTACATGAAGTGTCCAGAATTGACAAATAGAAAGAGACAGAAAGCAGATTGATTAGTAGTTGCCCAGGGTAGGGGAGAAATGGAGAATGACTGCTAACAGGTATGGGGTTCTTTTTGGGGTAGTGAAAATGCTCTAAAAATGATTATAGTCTTTGTTGTACGATACCTGAATATACTAAAAACCATTGAATTGTACACTTTAAATAGGTGAATTATATGGTATGTGAATTACATATCCGTAAATTGGGTGGGTTTTGGGTTTTTTAAGAGTAGTGGTTGGGACTTTTTGTTTCAAGTTGAATCACTAACAATGATTGACTACCTGCATTTCTTGTTGAGTGTGTTTCAGTAGAAGCAAGTGGATAAGACTTATTTAAAACTTGTTTTTACAGGAAATGTTTGTCAAATATCTGCAGTGTATGTTTATTGATTTTATTTCAAAAGTACCTCTCTCAGTATTTTACTCAAAATTTCAAAACTAATCACGTGTTTTAATTGAATGTTGAATTTAGGCCTAAAGGTTGTACTGTAGCTCCATTTAAAAATACATAACATCTAGGGGCGCCTGGGTGGCTCAGTTGTTTAGCATCTGCCTTCGGCTCAGGTCATGATCCCAGGGTCCTGGGATTGAGCCCCGCATTGGGCTCCCTACTCCTCGGGAAGCCTGCTTCTCCCTCTCCCACTCCCCCTGCTTGTGTTCCCTCTCTCGCTATGTCTCTCTCTGTCAAATAAATAAATAATATCTTAAAAAAAAAAAAAAAATACATAACATCTTGACCCTGCAGTGCTAGGTGGGGCTTGGTAAGGTTAGACATCAAAGAAAATTCTGCATTTTTAAAAAATTACGATTCTTGCTTAATCACAAATATTTGTAGTGACCTTTTCCATTCAAAGGCAAGAGGGACTTCAGAATTGAAAAGGTTTTCTCTGGGTGCCTGGGTGGCTCAGTCGTTAAGCATCTGCCTTCGGCTCAGCTTATGATCCCAGGATCCTGGGATAGAGCCCCACATCGGGCTCCCTGCTCCGCGGGAAGCCTGCTTCTCCCTCTCCCACTCCCCCTGCTTGTGTTCCCTCTCTCGCTGTGTCTCTGTCAAATAAATAAATAAATAACCTTAAAAAAAAAAAAGAATTGAAAAGGTTTTCTCATCTCGTTATAAAAACCATGGAAAGCCTAAATTTAAAGACTACCTTAATTAAAGTTGAATTTTGTGGAACATTTTTCCATACTTTTGAAGGAGAGAGACATCTTAAATACTACCTGTGAACTTACGATATACTGATTTTTGTCAACAACTTTTATCTGAGGCAGTATTTGTGGTTTCTCTTACTATTGCTTTGCGTTGTCACCACTTTTGCATCCTCGGTAATACATTAAAAATTATATTAAGTAAATAATCTTAAAGTTTTTAGGCCAGATGAACATCCAGTGTAAAAGCAAGACGAATTTGAATATTTCTAGCATCCAGTATCATCCAGTTGAAATATAAATATTTCACATAATCTTGGCCTTCTGACTATTGTATCAGGTACAGTGGTGCCCATCCTTAGAAGCATTTCTCTTCTGTAGTAGCAAACAATGGTATTGGTGATTCTTTAGTGTCCTGCAGTGTCTGCAGCACAAGAACTTTTCAGTGTATCTTCCCTTTATGCATGTGTAAAGATACCTCAAGATCAGCCTTATTAAGTGCTTATTTCTTGCAGTTCAAATTTGGCTTGCAGAAGTTTTTTTCTATAACATAATAAGCTGTTAATCATATTTTTATAGAAACCAAAAGCCTTAATTTTATGGAGGTTTTCTCCCCAGGATTAATGTAATTTGGCCAGTGTCCCCTCCCTCAAAAAATCTTGGCAAATTTTTGTTACATGAAACAGTATATTTTAGGGGCTCCTGGGTGGCTCAGTTGGTTGAGCATCTGCCTTCAGCTCATATCATAATCCCAGGGTCCTGGGATCGAGTCCTGCCCTGTATGCAGCTCCCTGCTCAGAGGGGAGCCTGCTTCTCCCTCTCCCCGCCACCCCACACCACCCCCGCTCATGCTCTTTCACTATCTCTGTCTCTCTCTCTCTCTCAAATAAATAAAATCTTAAAAAAAAAATAAGAAATGAAACAGTACATTTTAATTGCATTTAAAAGATTAAGCCCCAATGACCGCTAACCATGAAATTGTTTTCAAGTGGCTCTGTGTGTGAATTGATGTACATTTGCCTTCAGTCCTCATAGTGCTTTTATTATGGTTGACCCTAGCAAAGAGTTGAATTGGTGATGACATGCACTTGTGCCTATTAATGTTCATCATGACCTTTTTTTAAAATTTCCTGTTTGTCATTAGCAATCCATTTCTAGATTGAAGAATTACATACCTCATTAAATCAAATATAACATTTCTAAAAACCTCAAGCCAGAAGTACAATTTAAAACTAAGTCATTAATTCAAAAGCCAGGAAGCACCCCAAATTTGCAAAACTATGTATAATATATCATGATATGGGATCTCTTCAGAGTTTGCTTATTATTGCCCAACAGACCGTTTCTGTGTGATGAGAGTAGATGTGCTTGCTTATTTTTGCACTTTTTGGTGTGAATGTATGTATGTAGCAAGTTGCCAGCAGTGTGTGCTTATGGTTTATTTTAACCATTTTTGTATGGAAAGCTTGGCAAACCTGTATTGAGTGTGTTCTTTATAAGAGTGTATTATAGAATCAATCATACTGTGCTCTTACAGTAGCATTTTCAACTTAGGATTCTTGGGTGGCCTTCATGGGGTTCATACCAAATTTGTATATGCAGGGCGCCTGGGTGGCTCAGTCGGTTGAGCGTCTGCCTTTGGCTCAGGTCATGATCCCAGGGTCCCGGGATCGAGTCCCACATCAGGTTTCCTGTTCAGCGGGGAGCCTGCTTCTCCCTCTTCTCCGCTCATGCTCTCTCTCTCTCTTTCTCTCCCACAAAAATAAATAAAATCTTAAAAATATATATATATATATTTTTTGTATATGCATTTACTGGAAAGAGAGATTATAGCTTTCTAAGATTATTAAAATATATGCTTCCCCAAACAGTTAAGAATTATGAAGAGATTAATTCTGCCCTTGCATAATGGATCCAAACTGTTGTGCTTTTATAGTTTCTGCTCATTTTTTATGATCATAGTAAAATTGTGCTTGATAGACAGTAGCTACAGAATGAGTGTTATTTTCTTTTTCCACAGTGGTGTCTCAGTCAAGTAAACCATTACTTCTCATACCTTTCCATTTACCTTTCTCTAGAGCTGGTCTTCCTAAACTCCCTTGCATGTTGCTTCATATTTATCAATAAGTAAGGCAAATTACATACAGTCTATCCAACTTACATTGAAAAGCGAAGTTCTGATGAGAATGCCTCCTAAGAACTAATGAGTATAACTGTATATATGGTACATTTCATTTCACTGTGATTTAGGTGTTCCTGTTGTTGCAGAAAGTTTTAAATTTTGCTTGACTAAGTATAGTTGAGTTTTAGTTGACTTCAGGTTTTACTTTTGTGAATTCGACAAATTAAAAAATACTTTGCAAGTGGTGGGTCTTGAGGAGAGCTCAGCGTGATTTTTGTTATTGCCCCTTTAGGATACAGATGAGTTTATTTTACCGACTGGAGCTAATAAAACCCGGGGCAGATTTGAACTGGCCTTCTTTACCATTGGAGGATGTTGTATGACAGGTGGGTATGGTAATTTTTTTCAATGTCCTCAGTCCAAGTAGGCAAAAGTGCTTAAAATCAAAAGCAATTCAAGTACTGGTTTCAGGGCTTTAAAAAATCATTACTGAGGGGCACCTGGCTGACTCAGTCAGTGGAGCATGCGACTCTTGATCTTGGGGTTGTAGGTTTGAGCCCCATGTTGGGCATAGAGATTACTTAAAATCTTTAGGGGCGCCTGGGTGGCTCAGTCGTTGGGCATCTGCCTTCGGCTCAGGTCATGATCCCAGGTTCTGGGATCGGGCCCCGCATTGGACTCCCTGCTCTGTGGGAAGCCTGCTTCTCCCTCTCCTGCTCCCCCTGCTTGTGTTCCCTCTCTTGCTGTGTGTCTCTCTGTTGGGTGAATAAATAAAATCTTTATAAATAAATAAATAAAATCTTTAATAATAAATAATCTATTTACTTTTTCATTTTTTCCTATTAAAAATAAAAAAGAATCAGAAGTGCCGTTGTTTTTTTAATATAAAGCTTATTGGTTGAATCGTTACTATGATTCACTAGGGGCTGCATTTGGAGCAATGAACGGTCTACGGCTAGGATTGAAGGAAACCCAGAACATGTCCTGGTCCAAACCAAGAAACGTACAGTAAGTCTTATGTAATCATCTGATGTAGTGATGTTTGAATATTAACCTCTGCTTTGTTGGCCTGATGAACACAGTCTTGAGATTACAAGTGTTTGGAGAATTGACATACATTTTGATCGATTTTTTTATTTTCTTCATCAAAATAAAAGAAACTAAGGAATCAGGTTACTGAGGCTAAGATTTTGTTTTTTGTTTTTTAAAAGATTTTATTTATTTGAGAGAGAGAGAGTGAGAGATATCACGAGTAAGGGGAAAGGATAGAGGGAGAAGCAGGCTTCCCGCTGAGCCAGGAGCCCGATGCAGAACTCAATCCCAGGACCCTAGGATCATGACCCGAGCCAAAGGCAGACGCTTAAACAGACTGAGCCACCCAAGCGCCCGGAGGCTAAGGTTTTAAAAAGAGTGATTTTTGAGTCAGTGTCCCTCAATTAGCTGGTGCTACCCCAACCTAACTTATTCATCTTTTCATTCTGTAGGCCTATATGGCATGCTTTTCAACTTGTTGACTTGCTAGTACATTATTTGAATTGAGAGTTTGCAAAACCATAGGACTTGGTAGTAAAGAAATAAGCATGTAAGAGTGATTGCTGGATCTGCTCTCATTTGAATTGAACTACTTATTGACTTCACACTCCGTTTCTGAAAGGAGACGGCTAAAGAAAATGTATCACAAAATTCCTAGAACTTAGTGATAGTTCCTGAGTCTTTTCTCAGGAAATTGAAGTTTGTGGAGAAAGGACAGTACAGATGTCTTCACCCTGCCTAAGAAATAAACGTGACCAGTCCATGTAGATATTCCCTAAATAATCTGATGTTTAGTTTTGCATGTTTTTATACTTCATGGCTCATGGTTTTGCTTTAGGACACATTAAGCTCCATCTTCTTTATATTTTGTTTAGCCAGCAGGTGGCAGCAGGTTTATTAAATTAGACGTTGGGAATCCTGAAAGCTTGTCAAGTTTTTCATATTCCTGTTACTATGTGGATCTTTCTTTACTAGGCCACATCCTTGAATATTTTTACATTTATATTAATATTTGACCCTTACTCTGGGGAGCCTGAGTGGGTCAGTCAAATGGCTGCCTTTGGCTCAGATCATGATCCCAGGGCCCTGGGATAGAGTCCCGTACTGGGCTCCCTGCTCATCGGAGAGCCTGCCTCTCCCTCTCCCTCTGCCTGCAGCACTCCCCTGCCTGTGCTCTTGGGTGCTCTCGCTCTCACTCTCAAATAAATAAAATCTTTAAAAAATATATTTGCCTCTTATTCCAATACTTTTTTTTTTTTTACCTTTTTGTGTTATGGAGAATTTTGAAAACATACCAAAGTAGACAGAATAGTACAGTGAAGACCCATGAACCATAACCCATCCTCAGCAGTCAACCAGGATTGGGACCAATTGTGCCCCATCTCATTCTCCTCTCCCATATTACTTTGAAGCAAATCCCTAACATCGTATCATTTAAATACCAATTTGAAAGTGGAAGGTCTCCTAGAAAAGATAACCTTTGTTTCTTAAAACAATAATAGTTATTAATATTTTGGAGAGAGTCAAATAGGTTTGAATTTTTAGATAAGATTTTTTAAATATTATAAATCATTTTTATATAACAATTCTGATCTTACTAGATAGGAAGCATTTAAAATAGGAGACAGCTGGGGCACCTGGGTGTCTCAGTTAGTTAAGCGCCTGCCTTTGGCTCAGGTAATGATCCCAGGGTCATGGGATTGAGCCCTGCGTTGGGCTCTCTGTTCAATGAGGAGTCTGCTTCTCCCTCCCCCACCCCCGCTCGTGCTCTCTTGTACTCTCCCTCAAATAAATAAATAAGTCTTTGATAAATAAAATGAATAAAATAGGAGACAGCCTCTAAAAATGGAAAGAAGATAGGGTTTGGGGCCAGACAGATCTGTGTAGCTTCAAAGCCTAGTTTCATTACTTACTGTTTTGTGATCTTAGGTAAGTTTTTTCTACTTTCTGCCTTGAAGGGTTGTTGAGAGGTGATTAAAGTAGGTAAGTAGGTAAGGGTCCAATATGTGGAGATATATTGCCTAATCGTATCCCAGTCAATTTCACCAGTTTGCAGTGCTTCCAGCAGTGCAGTAATGAAAATTAATAGTTCTAAAAAGCATGTTACAAATGACAACAATATGCTGAACTTAAAATATGTTAGTAAATATGTAACATAATTAGAAACAATAGACTTCGTTACTAATTTTTTTAAACAACCTTTTAGAGATAATACAAGTTTTTGTTATTTGGGCATTAATTTAAATGAGTTTTTAATTGCATTAAATGAGTTTTTCACTCTTTGTTATTATAATTCCATAATTTCCAGCAGTAGTCAGCTGTCCGGATAGACCCATTCCTGTGATGGTGTTACACTGCTGGGAGAGAAATGACCTGTCTTCTTCTTCCAGTTGCCTCTGTCACTGTTCTGGTGGCACCTGGCACTGGTGCAAGGCAGAACTGTGCTTCCTTGAGAGTGTGCTGAGCGTTCACTCTGGCCGCTTAGCTCTAGTCCAGGAGCAGACACCATATGCTTTCTCTGTGTATTCTAGTGAGACAGCTTTTTCTTCTCTTTGAGTATTTCCCTTTAATTCTGCTTTACATTCTGTAATATTCCACGCTTTGATTCTATTTAATATCCTAAGTATATTCTCCCCCAAAAAAACTTAATCATAAGCTGATTTGTCCATTATAATGGTATTTTTTTAATGTAGATCAATTACTATAAGCTTTTTTATAAAATACATTCTAGACTGCCATTCAAAGCCTTTCTGTATTTGATTTATATTTAATAATAAGAATTTTCCCTACTGCCCAAAAATGTTGGAGCTTTAACAACTTCATTTATATTTCTATAAAGTAATCATTCTTACTAAATTCTGAGGAGATACTGAGGTAACTTTTAAAATTAAGAAAACTGGGGTGCACCTGGGTTGCTCAGTTGGTTGGGCATCTGACTCTTGATTTTAGCTCAGGTTGGGATCAGGGGTCCTGGGATCAAGCCCTGCCTTAGGCTCTGCGCCCAGTGGGGTGTGTGCTTCTCTCCCTCGCCTTCTGCCCCTCCCCCTGCTCTCACTCTCTCTCTAAAATAAATCAGTAAATCTTTTTAAAAATAAATAGGGGCGCCTGGGTGGCTCAGTCGGTTAAGCCTCTGCCTTTGGCTTAGGTCATGATCCCAGGGTCCTGGGATCAAGCCCCGCATTGGGCTCCCTGCTCAGCAGGGAGCCTGCCTCTCCCTCTCCCCTGCTTGTGCTCTCTCTCCCTCTCTCTCTCTCTCAAATAAATAAATAAAATCTTTTAAAAATAAATAAAAATAAAATTAAGAAAACTTTGGGTATTGGATTTATACATTGTAAATAGCTATAGTTATGATTTTTCAAATTAGAGAAATGGTGATTCTAAGCACAGATTCTTTCTCTTTCTGCCCTGGTAGGATTTTGAACATGGTGACTAGGCAAGGGGCACTTTGGGCTAATACTCTAGGTTCTCTGGGTAAGTAGAGATCTCACTTAATAATAAATCGTGTATATTACCGTGAACAATTGGATCAACCAAAATTCTGGCCATATGATATTCAAAATTATAGTTAAATCTACTGTGATGAATAGTGTAGATAATATTTAAGAAAAGACCATGAACAACATAACAAAGTAATTCCAGTTGCTAATACCAGTGTTTTAAAAGTCTTTTTAAACATTACATATTCTCCTTTCCAAGCAAGATGCCAAATCACGTTTTAAGAAAATAAGAAATCCGCATAATTTAGGTCCAAGTCAGATGCCTTTGTATGTTAAGAAAGGTTCAAGGTCCTGTAGTAAGATATGATAGATTAATTTCATCCCTCTTCCTATGTTTTCCTAATAGCCCATTCAGCATTCTGTTTACCTCAGAGATTTCCCAGACCTAATTTCCATAGTTGTAATAGGGCCTTTGTAGATATAATGAAAACATTTGTAGTTCTAAGCAAAGGGTAATTTAGTAGGACTTAGGACCAAAGTCTTTCATATTATATTGTTTATGAATGATTGACTCTTTTGATTACTCAGTGTACAACCTGTGGTACCTACGCTGTAACAGCCAAGAGTGTCTTTGTAAATTAGTTGCAAGTCTGAAAATCTTTTAATGGTGGCAGATTAAGTAAGGGAAAATGCAAGCATCTCATTGAAAAAATAGAAAAGGCATCTGTTGTGAGAGAATAATATCCTAGCTTTGCCATGGGATTTGGAAGCAGTACATTTTCACACCATGAAGTCAGATTGACATTTGAGATCCTAGGGAATGACTGCTTCCGTATGCTGCTCATGTCACCTTTGCTCCCACCCCATACATAGTCACCCACCTTTGTTTCTGTTTGGTTGTTTATATACCTAGAGCAATCAGCCATCCTGATCTGTCCAGGGACTGTCTTAGTTATAGCACTGCAAATCTCATGTTCCAGGAAACTCTCAGTCCTGGGTGAACTGGGATGGCCAGTTGCCTTGTGTGTTCCCAGTGTAATATGATCAATCACAATGTTCTGCTCAAGTTCGGTTTCAGTTAAAGAAGTTGAATTGGTAAGAAGAGCCTTTCTAGAAGTATAAGAGTATCACAACAGAACTTGTAAAGCAGAGTTTGGTGTAATATTGAAGAGTCAAAAATGGTATAATTTTGGGAAAGTATAAGGAAAAGGATTAATAGGAATCTTTACAGGTATAGGAGAAAGGTAGTTTCGGGGAGGATTTTGTTAAAACTAAATAGTGCTAGTGTTACTGTTTTTTACATGTGCTGGAACCAAACCTCAAATTTTTTTTAAGTTAACATTTTTCTTACAATAGAAATGCATGTGTTTTTGTTTCTAAATCCAAAGTATAGCTATTATTAATAAAATATAAGTGAAGATTAAAAATATTTTTCCTGGGACTTCCCAGTGGTGCTTTTTATAAGTAGCTACTATTCGTGTTTCTTCTGAAGCTTTCCAAAGATTTTTCTTTGCATATCCCGAGTTTCCACACATGTGCCTGCCTTACATGCTAGTGAATATAGTTTTTCCTGCTTTTTGTTTGGAGTATGTAGTATTCCATTGTATGGAAAGTCCATCTCTTGGTCTATACCCTTTGATGGGCATTTTATTTGGTGCCAGGCTTTTGCTATTACAAATAGTATTCCAGTAATTATTCTTCATATATATTTAAATGCTTGTAGAACGTCTATAAAATATATTTATCTAAATATAATTGCTATACTGACATTTAATCACTTTTTTATTACTGATCAGTTCCATTTCCCCTGTAGCTTTGCTCTATAGTGCATTTGGTGTCGTCATTGAGAAAACACGAGGTGCAGAAGACGACCTTAACACAATAGCAGCTGGAACCATGACAGGCATGTTGTATAAATGTACAGGTAGGTACTACTGAATGAAGAGCTCTCTCTCTCAATGTACTTTGAAGTATGCTTTAAAAACTAAGTAGCCACAGTTTTCAAAGGATACTTGATACATTTTTGCTGTGTAATGGAGTGTTGTCTAAAACCTAATGGTTGTTTTGGGTTTGGGGTTTTATTTTGATAAAATATACAAAACATAAAATTGACCATCTGAACTATTTTTTTAAGTGTAAGTTCAGGAATGTTAAGTATATTTACATTGTTATAGAATATCACCACTATTTAACTCCAGAACTTCTCTTCATCTTATGAAACTGAAACTCTGTATCCATTAAACAAAAACTCCTCATGTTCCCCTTCCTTTAGCCCTTGGCAACCACCTTTCTACTTTCTAAACTATAAATCTGAATTCTGAGGTACTCTAGTTCTGTAAGCAAGCAAAATATACAGTATTTGTCTTCTTATGACTGGCTTGTCACATTTAGCATACTATCCCCAAGTTCATCCATGTTGAACATGTTCAACATGTTCAAGCATGTTTCATATTTCCTTTTCAAGGCTGAATAAAACTCCATTGTACATATCTACCACATTTTATCCATTCATCTGTCAATGGATGCTTGGATCGTTTCTACTTTTAACTGCTGTGAATAATGCTCCTGTGAGCATGGGTGAACTAAATACCACTCAATTTTGAAAAAATAATCAGAACCCTAAGAGTTGAACCAAAATGACCTGAGTGGAGATCAAATATCACATTCTCCTCTGGGATGGAAAAGAAATTAACAGTCACTGAATTATGATTATACCCTCAGCTATAAGCATTTACTGTAACTTATTTAAAACTGTGAAGTGATAATCATCACATCCCAGTTTTATAGATGAGCACAGTATTAAGAAGACCTTTTTCAAAAGGTCACGTAACTGGTGACAGGCCCAAATTTTTCATCACATTTCTGCTTTAAATAGCTTAAACTACATATGTTCTAAATAGCTTAAACTACATATGTTCTATACTTATGCTTCTGAGAATTACTTGTTTTATTTTTTTATTATGCATTAGACATGATTAACTGAGTAATTCTGTTTTTTAGAAATTCCTCCATCACAAATATCAGGTAGCATTTTTGCTTCATTTTTACTAGAAGAAAGAAAAGCCTCAACAGGATCATGAAATCCAAGATTTCCTGATCTATCTGAGAATAAGAGGTTTTTCCTATATTGAAAATGTATCAGGGGTGCCTGGGTGGTTCAGTAGGTTGAACGTCCAGCTCTTGGTTTCGGCTCAGGTCATGATCTCAGGGTCATGGGATTGAGCCCCACTCTGACTCAATGCTCAGGGTGGAGTCTGCTTGAGATTCTCTTCCTTTCCCTCTCCATCTCCCCCACATGCGATGCACTCGCCCGCTCTCTCTCTCTCTGTAAAATAAATAATCTTTAAAAAGAAAAGAAAATGGACCACATTTGGAATTTTATCCCTAAGAGCTTGCAGTACTTCTTGCAATACATTCGCATGTGTGTACTCAGATAAATGGAGCTCCCGGGTAGAGTGAGACAGTAAATACCTTTTATGTCCATGAAGATGTTACCTTGGCATAGAAAAATCTTGTTAAAAATCTAGAAATACTTCACATTGAAAATCTTTAGGGTCAGACAGAAGAATTTAAAACTTTAATTGGCAGCACAGGGGTGCACTCAGCAAGAGTTTACTTGGCCCAGACTAGGTTTACAAAAGATCAAATTAATATTTAAAAAACATATTTCACATAAAAATCTGGAATTCCAGATTCTTTTGAATAAATGGAAGACAGCAAGCTTACAATATTCACATTGGCAAATGACTGGGGCCGAATGGAGCTGTTTCTGTACTGGTTAGATGGGCACAGAATTTCCAGCTCAGTCCCACTAGTCCCAGTCTTCTTATTCAGGGCAAGCCACCATGGCATTTCCTGTGCTGAGGGCAGCCCTGAATATAAGAATGTACTGAATTATCATCTTAGGACATACTATGCATATGTAAAAGATAGGAAAAGGCTGAATTCTTGATTTTGAAGGAAATGGGAGACTAGCTTTCTGTGTCAAGGACTTCCCTGCAGTAATGGCATTTATAACACAGACTGAGAACACCTCCCACTTAAATTATAAAAGAGAAAGATCTTGGCTCAGAAGAGAAAAAAACAAAAAAGACTATCCCTTAATTCTGTGTCAGGTTTCATTTCCATTGCAATTATGAAACAGAGAGGAAGTTAATAATCTGTTGACTTAGAATTCCAACATTGGCTGAACAATATAAATTTAGCTCAGCACATCAAAATCAGTCTGCAAAATCAGTGTCTTTTACTGATTTCTGGTTTAGAGTGAACTTAATAAGACAACACAGAATTACGAATTTTTTATGGCAGAAATACAAATACAACTTCCAACTTCTAGATTCAGGGATTTGGAAGAGTTAGGCACTCTTGGACTAGAGCCAGCATAAATGCTTAGGGACAGAAGTTTACATTTAGGGAATGGCTGATTCCTGCCAACCTAAAACATTTCCAATCCCCAATATATTCTTCAATAATAGAAATTTTTAAAAGTTCAAAATGAAAGTAGTAGGGGGCACCTGGGTGGCTCAGTCATTAAGCATCTGCCTTCGGCTCAGGTCATGATCCCAAGGTCCTGGGATCGAGCCCTGCATCGGGCTCCCTGCTCTGCGGGAAGCCTGCTTCTCTCTCTCCTACTCCCTCTGCTATGATCCCTCTCTGTCAAATAAATAAATAAAATCTTAAAAAAAAAAAATTTAAAGTAGTAGGACTCAATGTAGGTATGGAGCAACTTTAGTGGGAAGAAAAATCATGAGGAAAAATACATGAGAAAATGGATAGTTGTCAGACCAAAAAGAGGCTAATTTAAAGGAATAATTCTGATAGGGTGATTTTAATTCATACCTGATATATGTTTAATGGACTTATGTAAATATTTTCAAAGGGTATGAAATACTAGCTTTTCTTTGGCATATGAAAGTCTGTTTAATAATGACCAGTACTGGGGCTCCTGGGTGGCTCAGTCAGCTAGGCGTCTGCCTTTGGCTCAGTTCTCTCTCCTTCTGCCCATCCCCCTGCTTGTGTTCTCTCTCTGTTTCAAATAAATAAATAATAATATCTTGAAAAAAAAATAATAATGGTGGCCAGTATTCTACCAGAACAGGAACAGCTGTAGTTTTGCTGTCGTTCATAAACTTAGGACTAATGTTTAAAAGGCTTGGTCACTTACCTGATGTCAGGAACAAAGCATCAGAGACCAAAAGATATGGGCACCTCCTCTTCCCTCACAAAAAGTCCCTGCCTGTTCATTCTATGCCTTCCATAAGAAGGTCATCTTAGAAAAGCAAACTAAATAAAAGTAAAACGATACACAAATACATTTCTTCATATTAAGCAAATTTCATCAGAGTTATTGTTAAAAGGTACTGTTTATCAATTAATGCCAGGCCTTCAAAATCAAACTCTTTGGGCTAAAAGGACTTTCTTGATGACTGCTTTATTTCTATTACTGGCAGCAATATTCCTCTGGTAAAGGTAAAATACACATAACATATATAACAGGCGAAGGGCTAGCTGCTATAATATATAAAACATTTTGACAGATCACTTACACCAACAATCCAATAAAAAATGGAATAGGATTGACAGTGCTTCAGGGAAAAATACAAATCACCACTAAACAGTAGAAGCCATTCAATCTCACAAGCAACCAGGACAAAGCAAAAGAAAACATTAAGATTATATTTTTCACCAACTGTCTTTAACAAAGTGATGATAGGTAAGTGATGGTTACCAGAGCGGGGTGGGTGGAGGAATGGGTGAAATAGGTAAATAGGTGACGGGGAGTAAGCAGTGTACTTGTGATGAGCACCAGGTGATCAAAACTTAAAGAAAATACAATAAAAAAAAATAAAGTTAAAAAAAAAGTGATGGTAGGTGATACTTAATATTGGCAAAGGTAAGCAAGCAACTGGAATTAGTTAGTAGTGTTTTCAATATGTAGATTCTTCGCTCTGGTAATCTTTTAGCAATTCATCCTACAGCAAACTAAGGCATACGCACAACACTGTATATACCAACATGTTTAAGACTGGCTTCAAAAGACGGGATGTTTGAACGGAGACAGATGAGGGAGCATGTAAGGTGGAAGTCTGCAAGGAGTGATTTAGGTAAAGGCTAACAGAACAAACCCTAAAGTGGGGGTTAAAAGGCAGTGGGGGAGGGGGAAGTGGTAGAATCTGGAGACATAAAAGTGGCAGGGGACCAAATCATAAAGAAGATGGAGCTTCGGGCGCCTGGGTGGCTCAGTTGGTTAAGCAACTGCCTTCGGCTCAGGTCATGATCCTGGGGTCCCCGGATCGAGTCCCGCGTCGGGCTCCCTGCTCGGCGGGGAGCCTGCTTCTCCCTCTCCTGCTCCCCCCTCTTGTGCTCTTTCTCTCTCTCACTCTCTCTCTCAAATAAATAAATAAATAAATCTTTAAAAAAAAAAAAAAGAAGAAGAAGAAGAAGAAGATGGAGCTTCATAGGCCACTGCAAAGAATTTGACTTCACTGAGCTTTAATTCTTACATTCTAAATAAATACTGACTTCCCATTTACTTACAAGCCTTAAATTGTTTATCACAGCTATCAGAGAGGTAAGCTTTCACTGTTGTTTTGGGTACAGAGTTTACACAGAAGACGTTAGTTAAGTCAGGGTTTACAAATCCTCTAAAACTTCCCTACGATTCTCAAAGGGGTCTGGGCCACCATACTACCACAGAAAAGCAACCACCAAAATGCCTAAGAATCTGGTGGGGAAAAAAAGAGTCCTAAAAGGACAGTCATGTGGGGAGTCAGAAATGGCTGAGATAATGTAATGAGTGTCGTCTTGCGTGGGAGAACTGGGATTGCTGGGAGGGGACCTGTGGGGCGGCCGTGAGGGAAGCCTGAAAACCAGCTGCTCTGCTGCCAAGAGCCACACACCCTGCTTCCACCCTGACCGAGAAAG